GTAATAACCTAAGAGAGATCAGGCCATCTAGCTAAACAGTTTTAATAATTCTAAGGTCGTCTGCCATAAACAATTTTTTCTCTTTAGTTTTATATATGTTTCAGAAATGATTGAGTGATACTCTAGCAATTCTGGAGACTCTATTTTAACACCTTCTTCATATCACACAGTAAATAGCATAGGAGTTGTGTCTAAATGTACATTTTCAATTATTTATTTATAATTATACTATTGCATGAGCTTCCTACTAAAATGTCTTTATGCTCTAGATAACATTCCTATATCATAGCAATGTGGTCAAGTGTAGAATTAAATTTTAAAGATTTCTTTCTATAATAGACTTCAATCTACAATTAGGTGTTAAATGTTCATCCTACCCAAAATGATCTACAGATTCAATGCAATTCCTATCAAAATTCCAATGGCCTTTTTTACAAAAATACAAAAATAAATCCTAACATTCATATGGGGCCATAACAAAACCACAGTATCCAAAGCAATCTTGAGCAAGAAGATCAAAGCTGGAGGCATCACACCGCCTTATTTCAAAATATTTTACAAAGCTATAGTAATAATGACAGTATGGTACTAGCATAAAAATAGATATATAATAGCAGTGGAACAGAGTAGAGAGCTTAGAAATAAATATACACATTTATGTTCATCTGATCTTTGACATAGGTGCCAAGAACACACAAAGGGGAAAAGACAAGTATCTTCAATAAATGGTGTTGAGAAAACTAGATAATCATATGCAGAAAAATGAAATTGGAACCTTATCTCAAGCCATATACAAAAATCAATTCAAAATGGGTTAAAGACTTAAACATAAAACCTGAAACTAAAGCTACTAGGAGAAAACAGGAAAAAAAGCTTCTTGACATTGATCTGGGCAATGATTTTTGGGTTAAAAATCCAAAAGCAAAGGCAACAAAAGCAAAAGTAGACAGATAGAGCTGCACCAAACTAAAAAGCTTTTCCCGGCAATGGAAACAATCAACAGAGTGAAGCAACAATTTACAGAAAGGAAGAAAATTATTTCAAATCATCTGATAAAGAGTTAGTATCCAAAATGTATAAGGAACTCAACTTAATAGCAAGAAAACAAGTAGCCCAATTTAAAAAACACACAGAGGACATGAGTAGACATTTCTCAAAAGAAGATAACAGGTATATGAAAAAAAGTACTCAACACTACTAATCATCAGAGAAATGCAAATCAAAACCACAATGAAAATCACCTCACACCTTTATGAATCCACCTAAGTGTTCGTCATTTGCAACAACACTGATGAACCTGGAGGACACTATGCTAAGGGAAATAAAGCAGGTATACAAAGACAAATACTGCATGTTCTCATTCATATGTGGAATCTAAAAAAGTTGAACTCTTAGGAGCAGAGAGTAGAATGGTGATTACCAGGGGCGGCAGGGTGGGGGAAATGAGGAATTATTATTGGTCAAAGGGTACAAGGCTTCAGATGTGTAGGATGAACAAGTTTTGGAGACCTAATGCACAGCATGGTAACTATTGTCAACAATATTGCACTGTAGACTTGAATTTGCTGAGAATAGATCTAAATTAGTCTTACATTCACAAAAAAGGTAATTGTGTGAGGTGATGGATATGGTAATTAGCTTACTATGTTAACCATTTTACAATGTATACATGTATCAAAACATTACATGGTACATCTTAAAAACATACAATTTTTATTTGTCAGTTATATTTCACTAGTAGTCCTGCGCATGAATCTGTGCGCCAGTAGCTCCTGCAGGGCCTGGCCACTCTGCACCAGCTGCCCAGAGGCCCTCCGCAGCCAGGGTGGAATGCTTGTCTTGTCACCGCAGTGATGAGGCAAGCATTCCGCCAGGCCCCTCACGCTGCCCGTTCTCAGTGGCCGCCCCTGCCGGGACTGGGGGACTCCAGCGGAGCTGAGAGGACTGGGTGCCACCATCTTGTGACTATGGGCGCCACCATCTTTGTGATGGACTGATGATTAATTTGCATATTACCCTTTTATTAGATAGGACTAGAGGCCCGGTGCATGAAATTCATGCAGGGAGGGGGAGTTCCCTCAGCCCAGCCTGCACCCTATCCAATCCG